ATACACCCTGCAATTTATAGCTTCCTAGCTTAATTTTTTCTGGGAAAGGCTCAATACTTATCCGCACCTCCTCGTAGCAGCTGGTATGAGAGCACAAAATAAGGCTTATTGTTTTAGGGCAGAGGTCTCCAAACTTTTTAGAGTGAGGGCCACTGCATATATGTTCTAGATTTTCAAGGGCTGAACACTCGGCCAGATAAACAGGCAATGCGGGCTGGATGTGGTCCGCAGGCTGTAGTTTGGAGACCCCTGGTTTAGGATACTGAAGCGATGTAAGGAATTGGAAGAGGTGTTTGTGTTCCCGAGGTACTTCCAAAAGAGTTTTTTCTTTGTTGCCAATTGATTCTTGCAAGTTTTAAAATTATGCTCTACAAAATATTCTTTCTCTGTTGAAAATGTCTTGTCAGCTAAACCCAAGACAGCCCGCAAACGCATTTATTTTAAGATTAAAATGCAAAGTGTGTACAAGATTAGAAAAATGACACAAGCTGTGATTTACAAGGGTATCCTGTCAGTTAGGAATTAAATGCAGTGGGTTTTCATTAGGAATGTGTCAGATATTCCTGCAGAGCTCTGTGACTTATTTTAAACACTTATGCATTTAAATAACTTATTTAGTTTTTAATATTTTCCAAAAACAAATTGAATATTTTAAATGAAGGGGGCTGGTGTTAAAATGTTAATTTCTTGTAGCAATCTGCATTTAACACAGTAAGGATTTGTCCCTGTTCTCTAGGTGAAACATTGCTATCACTTTTCTCATTTTGTATTTATCTTCAAATGAGCCTCTTTTGCTGCTGAAGCAGAAGAGAGGAGAGATTTTATGCATAATATGTTGCTTGAAGGATAGGCTCCTATTATATCCAGTATCTGGTACAATATTTTTCTGTACTACATTGGACTCAGGTAGATCTAGACTGCCCTTAACACAGTGACACTGAAATTAAGCAGTGCCTAGAGTGCATAAACTTGCATTTAACCAATTGCAGTATTTCATACAGTAGGTCTATGCCTAATGATATTGTAAATTTTACCTGGTTCAGAATACTTCATATCTGTGTTACTACCACCTCTCTTGGTATGAAATAATAAGCAAACTACTAGAGGGTTTTAGTGCTATTTTCTAACAGTGTTTGGACGGGAGACTTGGGGGCAAGAGTTTATGAGTGTCTTAGTGGTGGAATAGGATATACTGTACATAATACATCAGTTTTTGAGATGGCTATTACTCAGTGAACATCTATTTCTCTGTTTAAATAGTGCACAACAGATGTGAGTTTTATAATGAAATATATTACACCTGTTTGATGTATACTACTAGCATGCCCATCCTCCTAATATATTGACAACAGGCATGAACATGTATACCTTCTCTGTACTGTTATTCAAAATGATTTCCTAACTACTCTAAAAGCATAAATGCCAATGTTGTTACACACTCACGTACTTCCACCCCTGTCCTTTCTGTTTTATTCAGAAAACACACAATTCTGTCATAATCACAAATGCCTTTAAACTTTGGATTATTGAAAGAGCAACCATACAATCTATTTCATCAGATCTGTAAGATAGTGTTCATTGGCTAAAAACCAGCAGTACGTTGCAACTAGAGTAAACCCATGGAATCAGTAGAACTTGTGGAGGAGTTGACTCAACAAATACCCACTTATTCACTGGGCCTACATTAGTTGTGACTTAATATTAGATTTTAGAAAGTATTTGTATACTTTAAAAAGCCTTTTTTTTTAGCTTGTATAGTGTTAGATGTTACCAGAGCTACTCTGGTGTGGGCTTTGCAAAACCTCAGTTTAGATTACTGTTCAATCCTGGACTCACTGGCCTAAGCAAATCACCCCCTTATAATCTCTTTTTCCCCATATATAAATAGAAGGAAATTAGGATGAGTGAGTGGTTGAAAGGCACTCTTGAACATTAAGAAGTGAATAAAACAATAATAGCAACACGATTATGTTTGGTATATTCAGTTCTCAATTTAGTGCAAGTTTTAAAATGATAGTAACAGAGCCTAATTATTAATTGTGTATCTCCTCAGCAGCTGAATGTTCTGGATAAAGCTCATTTTCAAAAGCAGTTGGCTTTTGCAAAGTGGGATGATTTAGTACATGTTAATTTGGAGGAAGGGCAACAGTGAAGGAGTTAGAAAATATTATCTAGCATACGGATGTGCCATTGGAGACCAAGACCATCCACACTCTTGTATTTCTGATCACGATGTGTGGGTGTGAAAGCTGGACAGAAAAGAAAGCTGACAAGGGAAAAAATGGATTCATTTGAAATAAGATGTGGGAGAGAGCTTTGTGGATATCTTGGACTGCCAGAAAGACAAACAAGTGGGCCCTAGACCAAATTAGGCCTGAACTATCTTTGAAGGCAAAAGTGTTGAAACTGAGACTGTTCCACTTTGGGCACGTCATGAGAAGGCAGGATTATCTGGAAAAGACAGTGCTTGGAAAGGTTGAAGGCAGCAGGAAAAGAGGAAGACCAAATTCAAAATGGATTCCCTAAAGGAAGCCATAGGTTTGAGTTTTCAAGAGCTGTGTAGGGCTGAAGACAGGGTATTTTGGAAATCTCATGCGTAGGGTCATCATGAGTTGGAGGTGACTTGACGGCACATAACGAATTTGGAGGTGGACTAAGCCTCCTAGAAATTGAATTGTGCCATCTCCATTTCTGAGCAAGCGCTAAGTGACTGTTTTTGAACCCAGATTTATTTCTGCCCAGAAATCCATGTCAGACAAGAATGTAGAGAACATGCATGGGATTGAAGCCTGTACCGTGTGTAGTAAAAAAATAAAGCTAAACGAGACTGATAGATGAGGTATGTGATTAAGAGCAATTTGCTGCTATATCAACAGAGTTTGAACCTTGGCTGGATGAGGCTTTGACTTGGTGAGGGAAATCCTTTCCCCATCTCCATAATTGCGCATTGGCTGTGGTTAGCCCTCTTTTAGTTGGAGAGCTGTAAAATCTTCCTCATTATAGTGCACAGTAAGAGAAGTGTGTTGGTGTTGACTTTGTGCCACTCCTGAAACTTAGTGCTCCTCTCTTGCCACTGCTACCCTCTTAAAGACTGACCAGTACTGACAGCTATTTGGAGCAATTTTGGGGGGAGCAAGAGTATATTGCAAATTTTTCTTGCAGATTCTTCTTGGTTTCTGTACTTTCCGTGTCCCTTGTTATGTCTTGTAAGGTGGGTGGGAAATTACATCCTGTGTCTTGCTTTGATACAGATTCATAGCAAGGGGTTTCTTTGTTTTCCAGTTTCTACACTTTATTAAAGTGAATGATAATTTAATCCTTTTATAAGGTCAGAAGGATTTTTAATTCACAAAACATGAATGAGGTAGGAAAGGAAAACAGAATAGAGTTATAATATATAATGTTTTTAAAGATTGGGGACTACTGTTATGTGGCACTTTCCAGTGTAAAGGTTTGACAAATACCAATGTAATTGAAATTGAAAACAGTCTCTAATGATTTAAAATTTATTAATTATAATAAATTTTCTTTAATTTGCCTAGATCATACATTATCTTGGAGAATATATTGTTCTGAAACAACTGTATGACAAACGACAACAGCACATGGTGTATTGTGGAGGAGATCAACTAGGGAGTCTTCTAGGTCGTGAAAGTTTTTCTGTGAAAGATCCAAGCCCGGTTTTTGACATGCTGAAACGGAACATCTTCTAGGTCGTGAAAGTTTCTCTGTGAAAGATCCAAGGTAGGAAGTTTTTAAAGCATATATGGAATAAAATCCCTGTGTCTTAAACATGTTTCTCAGCCAGGTGTCCCATTTCAGCCCTGGTAAAAATTCTGAGACAGGCTCCCTTTACCATTTAGATACAAGTATCTGAATGAAATCCATTGTATTTGTTGATAATGTTAAATTCCTACGTTTTAATGTGAATGGTTAGGGACTACCGAATCTATTCCTGATAGATGAAGACTTGTGAGAATTGTGTTGGAACTTGTTAGCAACTGCAGTCAGCCATGGATACTGGATTTCAAGAGTGAATAATGTGACAAACACGGTTCCCTAGAGAACGCGTGAATGCTCGGACAGAGAGTAATTAGGAGATTGGACACCGTAAAATGTGCTGAGAGAGTCCCAGAGCTCAGCTAGGCATGTCAAAGCTCCCTTTTACAAGTCTGCCCTAATAAGAACACCCTGGTACCTTTGAATATTACTGATAGAAAACCATGTGGGCTTTGTAGTCCTTAGACTTGTTATGCACCACAGGCAGGACTCATTAACTATGCAAGGCTGAGGCAAGCACCATCAGATGACCTAGGACACGTTTACTGTTCAGGAAACCAATTGATTTTTATCATCATTATTTTATTAAAGAAAAATTAAGTTCCTTAAAGAAAAAGTCAAATTATGCATAAGCAAACAAATAAACATTATGCTGGTTAATTACAAACTTGTAGTGAGGCAAAGAAAACATGAAAAATATCTAAGTGTCCAAAAACATTAAAATAATTCAAAAAGTCAAGAAAATGAATGAAAACAGTTCCAATAAGGTAATCCATCAGGAAAACAAAATAATCCAATTATGTAAGAAAAAGTCCATAGTCCTTGATAATCCTGTAAATGAAAAAGACTGTACAAAAGGAAAAATCCTGTAAAAGAAAATATCCCATTGTCCTAAGAATAATCCACAAGAATAGTCCATAGGAGTAGTCCATAGGAACAGTCCATGAGAAGAGTCAAGAATATTCCCTGAGTGCGTGTATGAGTAATCCATGTGTGTAGGCCATGAGTGACCTAGGAGTAGGTCATGAAAGACTTAAGGGTGGGTCACGAAAGACATTAGAGTGAGTCACGAATGACAATGTCCATAGGTAAAAGTTCCTTTTTCAAGAGTAACTGGTAAGTCCTTATCTGCTCCTTCCCACGATGTCATACAATCATAGTCCGTCATTAGGGAAACAGTCCTGTTGTACCACCTGACCTTCTCTCTCATGGGTAACAGATGTTATTTGGGTTTCTGTGGTTTTGCGAAGAGTGACAACAATACCCATCTATCTTATCACAAAGTTCCTTCTCATGCTCTCAGAAAAGCATTCTCCCAGCTCTCACTAGCAAACAACCTGTTAGCATTGCAAGGGTCCTTTATACAGAGAAACAAGATGGAACCTCTCTTGCACATTTCTTAATTACAAAACCCATGTTCAGTACAAGATTTTAATCACATATCCCATCTCATCACATCTGTATGTTGTTGTTAGCCCCTTTTTTGCCTGGCTTATATATTGCCAGTTGCATGGTTGTTAGCAAGTGTGGTAGAATGCACATTACATTGAAAGCATATTGTCTGCAAGCATTTGTTGTTGTTTAGTCGTTAAGTCCTGTCCGGCTCTTGGTGACCCCATGGACCAGAGTACGCCAGGCCCTCCTGTCTTCCAGTGCCTCCCAGAGTTTGATCAAATTCATGTTGGTAGCTTCGGTGACACTGTCCAGCCATCTCATCTCATCCCCTTCTCCTCTTGCCTTCATATTTTCCCAACATCAGACCCTTTTCCAGAGAGTCTTGTCTTCTCATGAGATGGCCAAAGTATTGGAGCCTCAGCTTCAGGATCTGTCCTTCCAGTGAGCACTCAGGGTTGATTTCCTTCAAAATGGATAGGTTTGTTCTCTTTGCATTCCAGGGGACTCTCAAGAATCTCCTCCAGCACCAAAATTCAAAAGCATCAATTCTTCAGTGGTCACCCTTCTTTATGGTCCAGCTCTCACTTCCATACATGACTACTGGAAAAACCATAGCTTTGACTATCCGGACCTTTGTCAGCAAGGTGACATCTCTGCTTTTTAAGATGTTGTCTATGTTTGTCATCGCTTTCCTCCCAAGAAGCAGAGGTCTTTTAATTTCATGGCTGCTGTCACCATCTGCATTGATCGTGGAGCCCAGGAAAGGAAATTCTGTCGCTTTCTCCGTATCTTCCCCTTCTGTTTGCCAGGAGGTCATGGGGCCAGTGGCCATGATCATATTTTTTTGGATGTTGAACTTCAGACCATTTTTGCACTCTCCT